GCTCCCTTTCTCTCTCCCTCCCTCCCCTCCCCTCCCCTCCCTCCCTCCTTCCCTCCCCTTCCCTCCCCTTCCCTCCCCTCCCTCCCTCCCCTCCCTTCCTCCCTCCCTCTCTCCCTCTCTCTCTCTCTCTCTCTCTCTCTCTCCGTCCCCCCTGACCTGCCCCCACGCCTTCCTCTTTGGCCTCGCTTCGGCCTCTCTTAACCCCCCTTGCAACCGTGCGATCAAGTAACCGTTCGTTTTCTGTTGCACTCCCTGGCACGGTTTTTTTAGGTCGAGAATCCGTAGCTGTTTTTTTTTTTTTTTCTTTCTTTATTTTAAGGAATGGGGTATTATTTGTTTGTTTATTTCTATGTTTGTTTGCTTGTTTGTTAATTTATTTATATTATTTGATTTGTTGTTTCTTCTTATTATTGCTTGTTTGTTTATTTATTTATTTTACTTATTTGATTTGTTGTTTCTTTTGATTATCTTTCAGGCTTGTCTTTTTTTCGTTGATTATGTTGATATGCAGTTGTTAGGCTCTTGTGTTTCAAATTATCCGAATGTATATTATTATAGCTATTTCTTACCTTTCATCCAAATCATCTATACCAATTTTTTTTCAAAATTTTTCATCTCTGTTATCTAGTTATTATCTATTTCGTCTTCTCTTCTCCCCATCACCTGTTATTCATCCTTGTCTGTTCTCGACCCTTCTCTCCTGTCTACCAAATTGCACATTCTACCGTGAAGTCTTACGATGTGCTGTGCGAACCGGGTCGGGTACAGTTGTTCCTGTTGGGCTAGGTCGGGTCTCCTATCGTCGTGGGAGGGGGGGGGAGTTCGGGCGGGAATGGCCTCTTGTCTCTCTCTGTCTCTGTGATGGGCGCGAGATGGCAGTCCGGCTCCCCGATTAAGATCTTACAAGTGTCTCTGAATATGGGTCAGTCTGTGGCTCTGTCAGATGGGTTGCAGTTATGTCAGGTCGGGAATTATGGCTATTGCAAAGTTGGTGATGGTTAGTAATGGTTCTGCAAAGTTAGTAGGTGTTGGTTGTAATAGTTGAATAGTTGAGAATGGTAGCAGTGGTTATGGTATGACAAGGCTATTTGGCAATATAATAGGCGGTAGTGATTGTATTGGGTTATGGTAGGTCAAGGTTAGTTAGTGACAGAATAGTAATGGTAGTAATGAACTGAATGGAATTCGAAATGGAAGCACTATGGTAGCGGTGGATATGGTAGTCAAGGTTAGTCAGGAAAGGGAGAGTCGATGGTAGTAATGGTAGTACCCTTCATTGCAGCTCCTAGTAGACCTTTGTCTTTTGGTTAAAAAAACGGTTAGTTAACCCAATCGGCACGGATGGAAAGAAAACATGCCGTGCCCATAAGTTTATTTATTGTGCATACACATAGATGGCTCTACAAGTGCTTAATTACCAAGGAGTTAGTTCTTAGTCACACCTATCTACCAAGATTTAGCTAACAATTTAATAATCATAACATCAATAACAGTAATAAGAGTATCGATACCAATTGTAGTAATAAGAAAAACGCATTTCCCTCCAATTCAAGGAATGGGGAAATCAGGATCAGTCATTAAGGCTACTGATAGATTCCTTGGCAGCTGAGCACATGTGGAGCCATCTGCATGTAACAAAATTCGCCAAAAAAAAGAAAGAAAAAAAAAAATACAGGCAACAGAACGTATATCCGTGATGGTTGGGTTAAGCGTTGTTAGTTGTAGAAATAGAAATACTATTAATAATGGGTGTGGTAGATTGGTTATGGAATGGTTGGTGGCAGTGGTGAGCTTATGATCGTTTGGCAGTTGTAGCTCTTTGTGAGAGTAAATGGTAGGGAATGGTAGGCATGTAGTACCATGGGTATGGAGAGAGTTTAACTTTATTTTTGTATGTTTTGTCATCATCGTCGTCGTCTGTGTGAAAGTGTCTTTGCGTGTGCATGCACACGTCTCAAGCAGAAGTGGATGGAAGAGTAGCCATAGAAATTTCTGAATGAAGAAAGGTCAAGGGGGACACTAGGACAGTATAGTGAGGGGGGGGGGGTAATGGGGGGTAGGGGGTATGAGATGATGGGGAGGGGGGGGGAGGGGAGCCTTATTAGTTATCAGCGGAAGGGGTTAAGGAGGGGGAGGGAGGGAGGGAGGGAAGGGAAGGAGGGTAGGGGGAGAAAATATTCCAAAAGTTGCTTACAGGTTACTTGAAACTCCCTTACCTTCTCGGCCTATCACCCTACATCTCCCCTACCATCCCTACTTTACCCCCCCCCCTATCGAAAAGGGTTTCAATGAGGGAGGGAAGGGGGGGGGGGAGAGTGACATAGAAGCTCCCCTCCCTCTTCCATAGAAGATACCTGAGCAAGAGGGAAAGAAGGGGCGGGGCAACTTGACACGTTATTGGAGATCCTTAGGCCTTGGGACTTCATCGAGGAAGAGGTGGGGGGGAGGGGGGGAGGGGGGTGAAGGGGGATAGGAGGATGGGGATTGAAGGAAAGAGTAG